GGTCTCCTGCTGTGATGTTCTGAAGAGCCCCAGAGGCTGCCTCCGTGGTGTGCTTGTTTAGCTCACATCTCTGTAGCAGCCTGTTGTACACTCCTATAATTTGAGGGTTCCACAGCCACTCCATCCCTTTGGGATCCTTAGAGACCTCTGTGAAAGTCACAATGTCTGAGTTCATGTGGAGCTTGGGAGGGAAAGAAAGAGAATGTTCAATGACCATTCTATGGGGGTCTAGAGAACCGTTTTCTACCATATCATCCCCTTCATACCTCGCCCAGACCTCAGCTCATGCACTGTTTCCATCATGGCTGTCATCCATTTCTATGGACAAAGCTTCTCACGCCTTAAATCCACTTCAATCTCTTTTGGGATCTTACTTGCTTCTTAATTGCTTCTCATGTGTTCACTTCACTGTATCATTAATTCCCAGCATTCAATGTGAAAATACTGGGAGGAGCTTACACCTCCACTGATAACGCTCTGGATCTCCTTGGGGATGTCACCCTCACACCCTGAAAAGCAACTTCTATTCTAGTGCTTAGATCAAGCAACAGGCATGATGAGGATCAAGGCAACAACCACTGATCTGAAAGTTCTTCCCACTCATCTCTGAAATTGGGAGTTTCATTGTAGTTACTCAGAACCAAGCAAAATGTCTTCACATTTTCAGGGATACTTTAACAGACTCTTACTTCGTATTCTGAGGATGGGGGATGAACGCCAACAATAAAAACACATGTTTGGGCAGAGCCCCGGCACAAATTAAGCTATGCAGACTTCAGATGCACAGACCCCTTCATAGGATCACTTCACCATCTCTTAACATAATAACAATAACAATAACAATTTATTATTTATACCCCGCCCATCTGGCTGGGTTTCCTCAGCCACTCTGAGCAGCTCCCAACCGAATATTAAAAAGACAATGCAGCAATTCCTTACCTTATGCAACATTTGCTGCCAGGCCCTTCTTTCTATCCCCCACAATAACACCATTTGCCCTCTCACCTCTCGAGCTCTCCTGCCCTGTGGGCTGAAGCATCCAACCAGCTCGCTAGTCATGGTTGGCCCCTCGCCCCTCCTTTGGCCTTCCAGTCTCTGGAGTGCAGAAGGAGGCATCTCATCATAGAGACGGTAGGAGAGGTTGCGCAGTACACAGACGGCATTCTCTACACTCTGTAGGGACAACAAAAGCGGGGTGTGCTTTTAAACGAACCATTTACAGCAAATTTTCCAATGCAGAGTATTTCTTTTTCTTTCTTTTGGCAAGCCCTTAAGGAATTATGTTTTTAAGTGGTTGCTGTGGATTGTATTATAAGATGCTGTTCTGTGTAGATTTCAGTATTTTATGTATTTTTGTTTGTGTTTGATTCTTCTCGTCAGCTGCCTCAGGCAAAAATTTGGAGAAGCCCCAAATGTAAAATATTATGCATACACACACACATAATTTATATTTTGCCTTTCCAGTTTTTTACTGGAAGCAGCTTACAAGAAGACTCCTCCCTGGCTTTGGAGTCAGGATAAGGGATATGGGCTACATCTGTGCTTGGAGACATCTGCACTCCACTTCTGCCAAGAATGAGAAAGGCTAGGAATGGAGATTCCCAGGCAGCTCTGACCCAAGGAGCAACCAAGCATATTTGATTGTATTGAACCAGTGCAGCCCAGGCACAGAAAAATGCATTATTTCACGGTCTACAGAAAACTTAGATTATTTTACTTAGATGTATAGAAACAGTCAAATTCGAGTCTTTTTAAACCCACAAATCACATTTTAGCTGACTTGTTTGCTGCAGATACCCTGAATTTTAATGGAAGAATTCAATATACTCTTATCTGACCACTTACAAGCTAATACGACTTTTATTCTTTCTTGTATTTTATGTTGCCCTTCCTCCAAGGTGCTCATTATAGCATACATGGTCTTCTGTGATGTAGGTTAGCCAAGTATCAGTGCTTGGCTGAAGATCATCCTGCGAGTTTCATTGCTAAGGGCAGATCTGAACCAAGGACATTCGAGCCCTAGTCTGATGCTCTGTTCACTACACTACATGAATAAGGGTTGCTTTACACTTTCCATTTTTGGGTGTACACCAAAAATTCCATATGTATGTCTAAACTGAAAAGTGTAAAAAACACATTTAACACACACACACACACACACGCCTTGTGATTGGCTGTAGCACCAATCTGAGTGTACACTTGTTGGCAGACCTTGCTTTGTCTACGTGTAATGTGTGAAGTGGCTTGCCGTGTCTTTGGACTGCTTCCCAAAGTCTGTCTGAAAAGCTCATGTCAGGAAAAGTAACAAAGGAAGTTTTGACTTATGGCAAGGGTGGAGAACCTTGGGTCCTCCATAAGTTGCTGAACTACAACTCCCACCAGCCCTAGCAAGCAAGGCCAGTGGGCCAGTGATGATGACGGCTGTTATACAGTAATATATGGGGGGAGGGGGCAAAGGTTCTCCCCACCGACTTAGGGGGAGGTCTCCTACTTGAGGCAGACTATCAACCTACTCTTGGCTCTCTCAGAGAAAATATGCATGAGGCAGTCATACCAGAGAATAATACTCTGAAAGCCAGCAGCATCCATAGATAATTGATGTATGTTTTGCCCTTCCTGTATTATGATTAAGATGGCTTAAGAAACAGATGCCTTCTGCATGCTCTCTTTAAAAACAGAGTAATTTCCAAAACAGAATTACTCTTGACTAGAACATGAGCCGGGATCTAGAAGTCTGCTGCTTCTCTGCCACCACCTGACAAGAACAGATCTGGTGGATGTAAGGAACAAAAGCATCGCCCAGCTTGGTACAGAAGAATGAAACTACAACCTCGGCTTAAGAAGATGGCCCTCAATGATTTAGGGAGAAATCATTCCACATCACAATTGTTTACATGTACAAGAATAACCACAGAGAACTTGGCCTTGGAATAAAGAGCTCTTGGCCTTGTGTAGATAATGGTTCAGCCACAGCCGCAGCACATTACAAGGCAACCAGCTAACAAGGGGAGGACTCACCTTGTCCTCTGACTTCCCTACTTCTAGTGAGCTATTAATGTAATTGACCATGGAGTCTACCAGCCCATGGCATTCACGCATTTTCTGACGAGTTTGCTGGCTGGCAGAGCTAAGATTCCTAGAAGGGAAACACAAAAGCATGTCATCACAAGGAATAATATTCCTGTCACCTGAGACCTGCCATCACATCTTAAAAGGTCAAACTAATTAATATACTAAATACAGAAAGCAGGAGATTCTGCCAGGTACATATCAGAGAGAAGCAGCATCTCTCAGGTAAATTATTCTGCTTGACCTGGCAGCTGCATATATATAAGGCAGAGAAAGAACATGATCTTGACAATGGAACCCCTAAAGTAGACTGCAGACCTAACCCTACTTACCTGAGAGCAAGGCCTGTTGAATTCAATAGAAATTGTCTCTGAGTAAACATAGTTAGGACTGCACTTTGAGTCTCACTGTCAGGGGCAGCCAAATGAGATCCATGCAAAGAGAAATGGGCAGGGCTGCATTGTCAGTCAAACTGGCCCATTTTACAATCCACGACAGAGCCCCATAAGCTATTCATAGACACCGCTAATAAGTGTGACGTTCTTGGCTTTAAAAATCAAAAGTGCCGTTTCATTGTGTGCATTGTTTAACAGTTAAACATTGCTTAACTGAAGTGCTTTGTTTAACAGTCCCCTCCCAACCCCTTGCTTCTGTCCTGGATGGTGCACCAATTGATTGTTCATGCCATCTTAGTCAGCAGCAATGTACTAAGAGAAGGGCAGAGTGCGAATGACAACATTGGTGCCAGCTTACACTATGGACCACTTTGACCTGCCATGGAAGCTTTTACAGTGTAAAAGCAGCGCTGCCTCTGTTTCTTTAATATTGCTTCACCAAGGATATTGAAATATTGCCACATCATGCATAGCTTTCCCAAGTTGGTCTTATAAGGATCCAATAGCCATGGAATATGTCTTTCCTTTAGTAAGGAGAAATACCTGAGGAAGCCAGTAGCATTGTAGAAGATTTCTGCCTCTGAGGCATTTTGCTGGATAAGAGCAGCATTGCCTGTCCCAGACAGGGGAATCAAGACCAGGTCTGTGAGCTTCTCCAGGGTGTCACGGGCCAGGCGGTCCTTGAGGTTATCGCTGGAAGACAGATTCCAGAGGATTCCTGCAGAGCAATGAGACAAGCATGTGTAAGGAAACTTCACTACAGAAACCACTGCTCCACAAGATGGGGAAACTCACAGCTTCCTGAGGAACTAAGCAGGAAGTAGTGTGTTTTTTTCATGCCTAGGTGGCTCCCATGTCCTATTAAATCATCATCACTGTGCAAAATGCTTCACAGTCTTTACACACTTGTCGTCAGGATAAACCTGCATGTTAGGCCACTCATACTTTAGATTCACAGATAAGCAACTGAGGCCCAGTTTACAGGAACATTTCCTGACATGTGCCAGCAAAACAGCAGGTTGCGGAGATCAGTCCTATGAAGGCCCTGACATCCCTTGACTTGGCCTGCTATTTCCTAGGACAACCCAGACCTAAAAGGTGTTTCAAAGCATTCCCACAAATACAGTGGTACCTTGGCTTAAGTACTTAATTCGTTCTGGAGGTCCGTTCTTAACCTGAAACTGTTCTTAATCTGAAGCACCACTTTAGCTAATGGGGCCTCCTGCTGCCGCCGTGCCACCGGAGCACAATTTCTGTTCTCATCCTGAAGCAAAGTTCTTAACCTGAAGCACTATTTCTGGGTTAGCGGAGTCTGTAACCTGAAGTGTATGTAACCTGAAGCATATGTAACCCGAGGTACCACTGTACTTGTCATGTGGAAACATGGCAATCTGCCACAGTGGCTTCCCCTTGTCACCAGCCTGGCACAGGGCAACTTTCTCAAGGTCACCCAGTACACCTATTCTCTGAACAGGGCTGTGAAACAAGGTACCTCAAGCCCCAGGCCCTTATTTTCTTCAGTTCTTCATAAAGGGAAGAACTGTAGCTGAGTGGCAGAGCATCTGCTTTGCATGCAGAAAGGTCCAGGGTTCAATCCCCAGCATCTCTAGGTAGGGCTGGAAATCTCCCCCATATGAAACCCTTGGGAGCTGCTGCCAGTCAGTGAAGACAACACTGAGTTATACAGACCAGTGTTCTGACTTGATATAAGGCAGCTTGCTATATGTTCCTTTCCTATAAATAGCACATGGCTTGCTATCTGCTAAATGGTTTTACTGGAACTCATCATACTTCATTTGATTTGGGGTTCTATGTACAGTGCTACCTCAGGTTACATACACTTCAGGTTACATACGCTTCAGGTTACATACGCTTCAGGTTACATACTCCACTAACCCAGAAATAGTACTTTGCTTCAGGATGCGAACAGAAATCATGCTTCGGTGGCGCAGCAGCAGCAGGAGGCCCCATTAGCTAAAGTGGTACCTCAGGTTAACAACAATTTCAGGTTAAGAACGGACCTCCGGAACGAATTAAGTACTTAACCCGAGGTACCACTGTATAGGGTGTTTCCTTGAAGTTGGTCATGACATCTCCAGACAGCTATCCCTTTAAACATTAAGAGTAGCTAGGAAGCAGCCTTCCACACTATGCTATTTAAAGTACAGTTGAAGTGAATTGGAAAATCAATGTAAAAAAGCAAATATCAATCAACCATGTTCAAAACCTTCTTATAAACCCTGCAAAGCAATTAACCAGTTCCAAAGGGATAAAATAACAAAGCACTGAAAATCCAAGTATCTGCTCTGCAAATTTTGCAAGAAGCAATTTCAAAAGAATAGCTATATTTGCCACTCAGTTGTATGCTTTTGTCAATGGGCAAGGTGGCCTCAGGATTCCAATATACAAACACGAAACTCTTTGGACTGATATCCTGGAATAAGCAAGAAGACGTTACTTTCCTACTTATCAAATGAAACTAAGAAAATTTTCTATCTACATTAGTATTGTGAAAATGATGTACCACATGATGCTGTGGTTGTTTAAATATATAAAATGATGGGTGGGTTTTTTTTTTTTTAAAGAGTAGATCTATTTGCTCCAGCACATTTTCAAAGCTCAAATCCACAACTACAGAAATTTCAAAATGAACAAAAATGCACCGTTCAAAAAGGGGGACATATTCTGATCTCCTTGTGGTGGCAGCACTTCCTTCTATTCATATGGTTTCCAAGGGTATACCTAATTATTTTGGAACGGGTGCTTGAAGTGTTGATTCCTTGTGGCAAATGGATCATTTGAAGGTTCCATCCCAGTACAAATATAAACATGTGTGTGTGTGTGTAAGATAACTGCTAATTTTAGTGGATGAAAATATTAGAATGTTGAGCTGTTATCTGCTAACCACACAAATCAGCCTGAGTGACAGGATGAGACCAAACAGCAGCCCCAGCAACTCCTCCAAGAAATGACAGCAAGAGAAAGATGCAGACAGACGCCATGTAGAAACTTGTATGGATCCAAGCCCTGTAAGACTGTCAACATTACTGGGATGCTTTACTACAAAGACAAGAATGGTTAAGTCACACGAACTTGTTGGAGCAAGACAGCCCTGCAGGCTCTGCCATGTGTCAATCGTGTTCTTCCAGGAACTCATCTAACCTCTTCCCTGTTGCAGTTCCTCAAACCTGAGATCTTTCCTGCAGTACTGACAGGATAATGTTTGACTTGCTCAGCTTTGTCCAGACCAGCTTGCTCTTTTTTCTTTACCTCTACTGGGACGCTCTACATCAACATACAGACCAGATCCTTAGCCAGGCCCAGCACCATCTTTTGGAGGGGAGTGCTGGGCCATCTGCCCTCAGTGCCCCCCAGCACAAACCAGCCCCCCAATACCCACCATCACTTAGTTCCTTGGGCTGCAACCACTGGGCTCCCTCTTCCCCTAGCTCTGACATGGGCTCATCAGCCACTGCTCCGATTGGGTAAGCTGAATGGCAAATGCAACCATGAGCTCCCCCCTTGAATTCACAGGTGAGTAGGGTTACTCTATGCCAACACTGGCAGGAGGACTGTAAAGGGCTGAATCAGAGCAGCCGCCAGGCTCCCAGCACATTAAAGTGCTGCTAAGATAAGGGGCAGGGCAAGAAAAGTGTCAGTGCTGGTGTGCATGGACCCCTGGTTCCACTATGTTAGTAGGATCAACAGATACTCTGGATACAATTTTCAAGGAAGCAGAAAACACACACACACACACACACACACACACACACACACACACACACACCCCTATTAAAATATGCCCCAGAGAAAAAATGCATAGTCATTTTGAGAAACAGAGTAACACAATAGGCAATGGGGAGAAATCAAAATTTTACTGGGGAAGCTCTATTTAATGGAGAAACGAGATAAATCAGGATAAGTGAGAGCTTGGTTCTCACAGAGTTTGCATTGCTGTGGAAGCAGAGTAGGAATGAGAGTTCAGCCCACAAGAGTGCTTCCAAGAGCCAATATTCATTCACACATGAAACAAAGCTAACTGTATACACCTCATGTTGGGATTGGATTGGGAGCACTAAGACATAAACCAGGGGAAAAGATGTTGCAGTTCTGGAGGAAGAAATCTGTATTTATACAGATTTTAGTATGAAAGGGCTAGGTAAGTAATTGGGTGAGAGAAGATAAAGAAGATGAGGAAGGAAATTCCCATAAAAGAGTGAGTGGCAGGCATGATAAAAGGAGTGAGTTTTAACCTGCTTCAGGAGAAAACTAAAGGCATGGTGCAGATTTGGATGGGATTTATCCAGACTGAGATTGTGCACTGGTGATGATGAAGGATTTGGATTATAGGGAAGGGAACTATTACATAAAAGCTAGCAAAGTGGACAAGTTTGTCTGATTTAGAAAGTGAGCCTTGCACAGCACAGCAATTCACCCTGTCTGACTGGGACAAGTGGAACAACAAATCAATAAATGCATCAGTGCTATGTTTGCTTTAAATGTTTTCAGATTACTGATTTGCCTATGACATGTCTCAGTAGGATACCCTGTATACAGGAAAGGTAAGGAAACATGCCCACAAAACATATTATAAATTTTGTCATGTGGGTTGCAAAAAGTGGGAGATCAGCATGTGTGTGTGCGCGCGCGCGCACACACACACACACACACACACACACACACACACACAGAGCTACAGGCAGGCAAGAATGCAGTTGTCTTGTCTCCTCCCCACCCCCAATCCATATATACCAGCAGCAAAAGGCTAATCTCATGCACAGAACGAGGTATGCCCTGGGCTGTGATATCTGGGGATTACTCTTTCCATCCTCTGATTGTATTCAGCTAAAGCCACTTTCACAGACTCCACCATGCTTGTAATAAGCGTTAAAGCTCATTGCATCATAGCTCCTAGACCTAACTTTCCCATTAGCCTGGTATTAGATTAGACAATCAGAGCCTGTTGGGCAGGATTAGGAAGGCCCTTTTGTAAGAGAAGCAAATGTAATCTCTCCTGTTGGCTGGACCTCTATATTCAGTGCCCTTGCTCTCTCCCAGCGCAAAAGACAGTTGCAGACAGGCTGGAGTCAGGTCCCAACCCACACCCTGGCCCTCCCTACCACCTATATTTATCACCTTCCTTTGCACACCATGACATACAGAGCAACTAGAGTGCATAATCTGAGGATTTGGAACTCCCTCCCCCAGCCCACGAAGCGCTCCGGATTCTGCCAGGTTTTATGTTTTCCTCTATGAGGATTTGCTGGTGCTTATCCCAGTTCTCTTTGTGAATGGGCACGGGTGCCAATCTGAGCTCAGAGAGTGTTTCAATAAACTGGGAGTTGCTAGTGTCCTGCTGATTTCTTCTGTTCACAGATTAGTGTGCCTTCAAGCTTTTTGTGAATTGAGACACCTGGAAAATTTGAGCTGAGTTGCAGGGGGTGGGGGTGGGGGGAGGAGGAGTGGCTAGTTCTGAAGGGGACCTGGGACAAAAGGGAGGGGAGCAGCATAGAGAAAAAAGCTCTGGATGCGAATGTATCGTGTGCAGTGCAAAAGATGATGCAGGTGCAGGCAAGGTGATTCATGGGCCAAATGCAATTAGATTATGGGCCAAATGCAATTAAGGTGCATGGAAAAAGACCAAAGTTGGTCTTCATATACAAATTCAAATACATGCAGGTGTGGCCTAATCTAGTCTTATTTGAAGGTGGAGTGGGGTGTGGATTTAATAACAGCAAAATACTGCTCAAATGTAGGCAAGCCCTTACTTTGCATGCAGAAGGTCCCAGGTTCAATTCCTGGCACCTCCAGGAGAGCTGGAAAATTTGTATTGTATTGTCTCAGGGCAGTTCACAGTATTTCCATGTTCTTGCAGTTTTTGGCCCTGGTTCATAGTCAGTTGCATGTGTTAGTAATGCCAACCTTTTTGGACACAGGAGTTAAGAGCCCGGTTCTATAGTCCACTTGCTTGGGGATGCCACCAAAAATAGTTTCCCCAAGACATGTTGTCTCCCTCCTGCTGGAATATCTGACCACTACCACAAGGATCAGGGCCATCATGTTTCTGCTCTCCTCACAGTGGTAGCCAAACCCATGGAGTACAGGCAGGCAGAATCCAAGCTGCAGCAAGCACTCCTAGGAGTGACAGTAGGGCAGGGGCTACTCATGGGGAGACTATTTGGGGCAGCAGCTCTGTGGCAAATATAATGCGCAGCTCTAAGCACTGGAGAGCTTGCCTCATCATAACTTGCCCGATGCAAACTTCTCTCACCTGTGACATTCTTGCGCAACTCATCATCTTGCTCGCATAAAGTGCGCATCAGCTCATAGATCCCGTTTTCTTCCACCAGGGCCAGCTTGTTTTCAGCATTGTCATAGATGAGGTTGCGCATGGCTCCAGTGGCATGGCGCTGCACCTCATGGTTGGAGTTGTTGAAGAGCTTCACTAGTTTGGGCACGGCTTGGAGGCTGCGAGCCTGTTGAGGCAGAGAGACAGGGACAGAAAGAGTAGTACACTTGTCAGAGAGAAACAAGAAAGCAGGTCTCTGCGTGGAACTTTTCAGTATGCCATGCCACCTAAGGCTGCCTGCTCTGTTCTCATTCCAGATA